ATTCATTCATCAAACACTGCTGCACCTGTGCTGGGTCTGGGGTCACTTTAACAAAGGAGACCTCGACCCCCACCCTGGGTGGGTTCCTTTTCTGGGCACAAGGACAAGACATATGGCCGCTGTGTCCCCAGAGCCGCACAGCTGTGCGCTGGGCGCTCAGGAAGGCAGACCTCCTGCAGGAGGAGGACTTGGCCGGGCCTGGCAGGACCCAGGCTCCCTGAAGGAGTCCTCGGTTGTGGAGACAGCAGGTGCTGAAGGGCCTTGGGGACAGGGGCTGCGGCTGCAGCTGTCAAAGCTGGGAGCCCCACAGAAGTCCTTATCCTGGAAGCCAGCAAAGGACAAGAGGGCCTGGGGAGCTCGGGGACAGTGCTCAGTGTGAGCAGGGTGGAGGACCTCAGAGAGCCACATTCCGGGAACTGGGAGAGTCCTGAGAGGACCAGGGAAGACCGTGGCTTCATCCCGGCTCCCCAAAGGGACGCTGTTGCTGGTCAGGGAGCAAGGCGGGTCCCAAAGCAGAGACAGGGGCCAGGCTGCAGGGTCGCTGACTTCTGTGGTGATTTTCAGGGTGCTCCAGGAGAGGCCCAGGGGACTCTCGGGGCGGAACAAAAAGTACCCTCTCGAAGAAGCCTGGCAAGACCTCCTAGAGAGGTGTTACAGTCTGGGGGGACATGCAGCTTTGGTGTTAGAAATGGGCACTTGGGCATTTCTAGAAAGTGTGGGCTTAGCTTACAGAGGAAGAGTGATGACCAACCGCAAGGACCGGTGCGAGGCAGAGACCATCAAGGCTGCTGGGCTCGAGGAAAGGTGGACAGCGTGGAATTTACTGCGCCTGACTACAGGCAGACAGAGGGCAAAAAGGCCACCCGTAGGGAGCAAAGAGAAGCCAGCTTTTTTATAGGGGTTGAAAGAAGGCAGGGGCCGTTAGGCGGGAAGATCTTAGTAAACATCAGAGCTCTCTTGGCGATCTGTATCACAGGGGCAAAGTCACGGAGGCGTCCAGTGTGAATTCGTGGGTGTGTTCGGGTTCTCCCCGTGTTTGCGAGATTCCCTGCTGCATCTGCCCTCTTTAGGACGTGCTGTGTCTGCCAAAGCCATGGGTGCAGAGCTAAGAGCTGCGCCTCTGCTGCTCCACGGTCAGTGGGCCAGGCTTTGCTTAACCTCCTGCCACACGAACTTCCTGCTTCTCGGGCAGGCGTGGCCTGGGCCAGGGTCAGTCTAGCCACAGGCCTGGGTCCTTCAGTGGATCTCAAGTCAGACTGCACCTCTGTGCTTTGAAAGTTGCCTAATAAGAAAGGGAAAATTGAAAAGGAAAACTGCATAAGAAAAATCGTTTTTTTAAAAACTTTGTTTTGTTTTGTTTTGTTTGTGGTACTGGGAATCAAACTCATGACCTCATGCTTATAAGGCAGGTGCTGTGCCACTGAGCTATATCCCCAGCCCACAAACTTTGTTTCTTTGAAGCTGCTTCGCTCTGTAACTGCTTCATGGCTGTGACTGCTTTCTTTTTCTTTCTTTTTTTCTTTTTTTTTTTTTTTTTTTTTTGGTACTGGTGATCGAACTCAGGACCTTGCACTTGGCAGGCAGGCGCTTGTGCCGCTGAGCTAAATCCCCAGGTCCTCTGATTGCTTTCTTCACCCCCGTAACCACAAGGGCGTAACCAAGTAGCAGGATGTCTGATTGAACCAAGCCCCATGACCATGACTCCAGTCTTGTAACGGATGACCGTTAATCTGGCCCAGTAACCGATGGTCTCCCCCTGCTAGCTAATCAGAACAACTACCAGGCTGCTCTGTCTTGCCTCTGTACCTCCTTCCTGTTTATGCATCATGTAAAAGTGCCAGCCCACAAGCAAACGGGGCTTGGGAGTTATCCCAGCCAGGACCACAGGTGTAAATAAAGCTGTTCGCTGCCTCCTGACTTCCTCAGGTGTTGTTCCTTTCCCAGACTCAGTTTTGCCATGTCCACCTAGCGTCCTGGGCAGGTATGGGTGTTCTTTTTTTTTTGGTTTTTTGGTTTTTCTCTGGTACCGGGAACCGAACTCACGACCTTGCGCTTGCCAGGCAGGCGCTTTTGCCACTGAGCTAAATCCCCAGCCCCGGTATGGGGTGTTCTTTATGTGTGTGCTGGGACAGAACCCAGGGCCTCACGCACGTTAGGCAAGCACTCCTCATGGCTCTGGGCAAGAACTTGCCATCCTCCTGCCTCAGCCTCCCAGAGTGCTGGGATTCGAGGAGTGCACCACCAGGCCCATCTTCAGGGGTCCTCTCTTGGCCCCAGCGTCTTCTGCACTGACCTCGCACTGGTCTCCCCCAAGCAAATGCCACAGTGAGCCAGTTCCCCAGCTTCTCCCTGCTTCGGAATCTGCTAAAAAGTCAGTAAGCTTTGAAGGAGGGGTTTGTGTAGAAATCCCAGATGTTTTTTTGTTTTGCTGAACATTTTTGGTCGCTTGGAGATTGTTATTGTAGCATTTTCTCCCACACTCTCTCTGCATGTTTGCACAAAGCAGGAGATGAGAGAATTTTCTGTTTCTCTAACAGGAAACAGCAGTGTCAAGTCGTGGGGAGGCACCGGTTCCCACGCTTGGTCCACTTGAGTGACCTCTGACTGAGCTCCTGCCACCAGACTGGTGGCCTCCGATAAAGCCGTTTCATGAGCCGTGGTTAGACAAGAAATGTCAGCCCGTAAGCCCTGGGGTGTGTTCTTCGTGCCCCAGATAAGCACCTGACCCCATACCCTGTGCGGAAGGTGGCAACCGAGCCCCGCCCCATTTCGTGAGGACACAGCACGAACCCCTCCCCTCATGCTTTGATTTTTTTTTTTTTAATTTCAGTGCTGGGAATCAAGCTCAGAACCTCATGCATGCTAGGCAAGCAGTCTGCCACTGAGCTACATCCCTAGCCCTCTCAGCGTTTTACTTTGAAGCCAATTTGTTGATTTCTGTGGTGCTGGGGATTGAACCCAGGGCTGAGCTACATCCCCTATCCTTTTTTTCTCAAAATTTTGAGACAGAGTCTCTCTCAATTGCCCAGGCTGGGTTTGAGTTTGCAGTCTTCCTGCCTCAGCCTCCCAGAGTGCTTGGATTACAGGTGTGTGTCACCACGTCCAGTTAAAAAAAAATTTAAACCTATAGGAACATTTCAAGAACAGCACAATGCATACTCATAGTTATTTACCAACTGTTAGCATGCTGCATCTGCTATTTCTCTCTCTCTCTCTTTTTTCTTTTCTTTTTTTAATTTTTAAAGGCAGGGTCTTGCTGTGTATCCCAGGCTGGCCTTGAACTCACTATGTAGCACAGGCTGGCCTTGAACTTACTGAGATCCTTCTGCCTCAACCTCCCAAGTGCTGCAATTACAGGTGTGCGCCACCATGCCTGGCTGTCTCTTTTTCACGTAGAGTGACACTTTGCCCAAGTGGCTCAGGTGTGCCCCCTTTTACACAGCTACACACCACCACCATACTGCCAAAGCGAGACCTCTAATCAGGATTGCTCCCTAGTAAACACTGCTCGGTTCAAATTTCTCTGGTTGTTATACTGACTCTATCAGCGTACATTGCTCCTTTTTATCTGGGAATTCATCAAAGTCCCTTGGTTCGTTTCTCGGCCACGTCTGTTTAGTCTTATCCCCTCCACACAGTTCTCAAGCTTTGCTTTATTTTGTCTTGTCTTGGTCTCTCCTGACACTGACATTCCCAGGGCAGCCGGGCCAGCTGGTTTGCAGAGGCCACTCAGTTTGGGTCTGATTGAGTCCCAGTGGACACAGGGAGGTTAAACTTTTGGGGCAGGAAACTCCGCAGGTGGCCTGGGGTGTGGGGGCCTCCAGGCCTCTTTCCTGATCAGAGGTGAAAGGTAGGGTTTTCATCATGATGCCACAATCAAAAATGAAAACAAATGCCCATCAGTCTCCCTCTTCCTAGTCTCCCCACCCTGTAGTGAGAACCCCTAGGTCCTGCCCTTCACCCCTGCTGCGGGCAGCCCCCCTTGAGTCCCTGGGGTCTCCCTCAGGTACCTTTGTGCTTAAGGTTTCCCACCCCTGGAGTTGGCCAGCGACCCCGGGCCAAGGTCACTTTTCGTAATTTTACCATCCGTGTTATGCACGGCTCCATTCATCTTGCTGGTTCCATTTTATTTTCCCCTCACCCCCGACATTTATTCTTTTTTGTTTGTTTGTTTGTTTGTTTGTTTGTTTTCCGATACTGGGAATCGAACTCACAACCTTGCACTCACCTGGCAGGTGGTGTGCTGCTGAGCTAAATGCCCAGCCCCCAACTTTTATTCTTAAACATAAAATGGATTTCAGATGCATGAGAGGTGTGAATTCCAGGTGCCAACCCCATCTCTACCTGCAAACACCTGCTTGGGAAGCAGGCATCAAAGCCCTCTTCCACCCTTTTCACTGAATCCCCTTGGAACTGAGGATCCAACCCAAGGCCTTCATATTGAGCTGTACCCCAAGTCCTTTTTAGTTTGTATTTTGAGACATGGTCACACTCGGTCACTAAACTGCCCAGGCTGGGCTGGAACTTGTGGCGATCCTCCTGCCTCAGCCTCCCAGAGTGCTGTGATTACAGGTTTGTATCACCACTCCCAGCTCCTCTTCCATCTTTTTGGAAGGGACCCTGAGCTGGGCAGCAGGATCCCTGCTTCCAGCAGCATCAGCGTTGTCAAGGAGGCCACCGTGGCCTGGTGAGGCCCTCCCCCTTCTGGGCTCCCCAGCCTTGGCCTTGCGCTTGGGGACTGAATGTCACACTTGTAGTGTCAGACAGTTCACAGACCTAGCACTTTATTTTTCATGCTGGCAGTTTTACCAAGGTTTTGTATACAGCAGGGGTTTCCATAGGGGTAGGAATTAGCGTCCCCATTTTACAGTATAGGAACTGAGGCTTCCAAAGGGGACGGGTAGCACCCAAGGCCCCATTAAGCAGAACAATTCTCCCAGGTGCCTGAACGCCCTCTTCCCAGCGCGCAGCGGATGCTTCTGCGACGGCGTGACAAAGGACCCCGGGACCAATTTGCCGGGGCGGGGTTTATGCAAATAGCCCGCGGGCGAGGCCGCGGATTGGCCGGCGCGCGCGGGGGCGGGGCGTGAGGAGAGCCCAGGCCGGCAGGTGCGCGCGGAAGAGGCCAGGTGAGCCACAGCTGGACCGCGCCCCGGCCGCTGCTGCCTTCGGTGATGCCTCCGCTCTGGGCGATGCTGGCGCTCGGCTGCCTGCGGACTGGCTCGGGTGAGCAGGGATGCTCGCGGGGAGGAGGCGCGGCCCGGTTGCGGGACCCTCCCAGGGAGGCCCGAGCGGAGCCTGGATGGGAAGCGGCCTGGGCGTCACTTATTCATTCTAGGAATGGGCACGGATTCCTGGTGCCGCGCGCCCAGGTCGTAGCCGCAGCCAACATTATGAGCTTCCTCTGTGGGACTCCGAGGGCTCAGGGGTGGCTCCTGCCCTGTGAGCGGTGTTGCGCGAGACCAAGATACAGAGGCCTGAGGGCGGACAGGGCCCCTGGACCGCGGGAGAGGGAGGACGGTTCCGCCCAGGGGCAGCATGGGCGAGTTTGGCAGGGGGGAGGCTGCGCACCCCGCTGCCAGAGCTTGGCATGGCTTGGGGTCGGGGGAGCTGAGCAAGAGGGCAGGTCGGAGCCGCAAAAGGGGCTGGTGGGGCACAGGGTCAGGTTCGCATGGTACAGAGTAGAAGGGCCCTCTTGCTTGGGTCCAGGTGAAGAGGAAGGGGTGGAGGACACGGCCCATGGGGCAGACACCGTGAGGGGCTGCAGTGGGGCTCTCAGTGACTGGGTATCTGCAGGGGGCAGCCAGGCATGGTGGCGGCGCCTGTAGTCCCAGCACTGTAGGAGGCTGAGGCAGGAAGATCACAAGTTCAAGACCAGTCTGGGCAATGTATGTAGCGTCTTAGAATACACACACACACACACACACACACACACACACACACACTGGAACTATAGCTCAGTGCAGTGCAGAGGCCTTGAGTTTGATCCCCAGTACCAACAAAGACGAAGAAAAAAGAAAAATTTGTAGGGGGAGAGAGTTTCTGGCAGGATGACCGGGAGGCTGGGGCCAGGGCACCCCTGGCATCTGAGACAGGTTCAGGAGGGGGCCCACGGCAGGGTGACGTGCAGCGCCTGGCACACAGCGGTAAGGGGTGGGGAGCACCGCGGCGTGGGCAGTCTGCGGGGTCAGCACCCGCCCGCATTCCTCCTCCAGCCGTTGACCTCCAGCCCCAGCTGGCCAGCGTAACCTTCGCCACCAACAACCCCACCCTCACCACCGTGGCCCTGGAGAAGCCGCTCTGCATGTTTGACAGCACAGAGCAGCTCTCGGGCTCCTATGAGGTCTACCTCTACGTCATGGCAGACTTGGGTAAGGGCCCCGCTTCTCCCCCGCGGCCCGGGAAGGGTCCACGCTCTCCCCGGCAGCGGAAGCAGGCAGGCAGTGGAGCGCTGCGTCCCCACAGTTGTGTCACCCAGCTGGCCCGAGCGCTGTGGCCAGCCCAGCGTGGTGCAGGCGCAGACCTGCCCCCAGCACCCGGCACCAGCCGCCGGGAACCCGCCTAGCCCGGGTCCTTCCTGCAGCTCCCCAGGGGCCAGGGGTGAGAGGCGAAGCCGAGCACTGGGACCTGGGGGACCTGCCTGACCCTCGGCCCTTTGTGGGCAGGAGCTCCAGCCTTTCCAGGGAAGGGGCCCGAGGACAGCTGCTCTCATCTACAGAAACCAGCCGTTTGCAGCAGCTCGCTGGGGCACTCATTTCATTCTCTCGGCAGACATTTGTTGGCCGCAGGCCCGTGTCTGGTCTGGGGGCACCATGCCGTGTTTGGGTACATTTCACTGCAGGCAGAGTGGGATCCAGAGAGATGGAGCCAGTTGTCCAAGACCACTTGGCCTGTGAGAAAGAGGCTGGGGACCCGGCGTAGGCCATCTGCCTCCACGTCGTGCGCCTGTCCCACAGGACCCCCTTTCTGTTTCACAGAAGGGATGGTCCTGGGCTGTTATGACAGGTGTACCGGTCAGCAGGGGTGGGGAGGCAGGTGCATTCTGAGATGAGATGGGGAAGCCGGGTGTGGTAGAGCATGTCTGTGATCCTAGTACTCAGGAGGCTGACGCATGAGGATCACTGTAAATTCAAGACCAGCCCAAACTACATAGCAAGACCCTGCCCAATAAAGCAAAACAAAACAAATTTAAAATAAGATAAGGTGGAAAGCTGGACACAGCACTCAAAGCTGAGAGGTGCTCCTTGTCTGTCTCCCCCACTGAAGTGGGGGGCCCTGCACATGGCTGCAGCAGATCAGAGGCTGGGGGCGTTTGATGAATGACTGAGTGAGTGCACTGAGCTAGCGTGGCCAGGATCCTTACTCTGGACTCTGCCTTTGCAGCTGGCTCCAGGAACACTTCCATACAGGACAGGGATGGGATCCCCCTGAAAACCACGTTCCAGCAAACCATGGGCGGGAGGACAGGTCCCTACAAAGCTGCTGCCTTTGACCTGACTTCTTGCAGTGACCTGCCCAGCCTGAATGCTGTTGGGGATGTGAACCAGGCCTCGGGTATCCTGGATGCCTACCTGATCAGGGTGGGGGACAACAGGACCTGTCTGTGGGACCCCAACTTCTGGGGCCTGTGCAACGCCCCGCTGTCAGCAGCCACAGCCTACAGGTGGGTGTGAGGAGCTGCGGGAGGCGGACCCAGTGGGGAGGGCACGGAGTAGGAGAAGCCACGTTCCTCCTGAATTTGGGTACTGGCACTGCCTGAGTCTCAGGCGGGCCGGGTTCTTGGGCTTGAGAGGTGCAGAGAGCCTGGGGCTCAGAAGGCCGGAGTTAGCTTACTGCTCTGCTGTCACTGCCCTAAAATTCTTAACTTTGGAACAAGGAGCTTCATTGTCACAGTGCGCTGGTCCCAGCAATTATGCACCTGTTATGGCCGAGCACATAGGGCAGTGAACTACAGTCCAGAAAGCTAGAGCTCCGCAGGCGGCCTCCCTCCCCGCCACACCTTCCTCCTGTGCCTTGAGCTGTCTCCACCCCAGAGGCGGGGTCCTGGCCCTCCATCAGACCTCAGGTTACGCCCACTCTGGTTGCCATGGAGACACTTAGGTTGGGGTCTCCAGAGGTTCCAGGCCTGTTTGGGACCACAAGCACTGTCCGCCTGCCATCCCCATAGAGTGCTTGCTTCCTGCCTCTGCCTCTGCCTCTGACCCTGCGGGGACAAGGTTCCTCCTGTCCTCTTCCCCAGCCCAGTACCTCTGAGCTGTGTGTCCTGTGGGAATACCTCCACGTCCATCCCCTCTGGCATCCTGTGCAAGCCACCCCGCCTCAGGGGCGAGAGGTGGGCACACCCCAAGAATGCACACCTTGAAACAGAGTCATGGGGTTCACCAAAACTCTGGATGAGCAGAGTTTTTGTTTGGTTTGGTTTTTGAGACTGGGTTTCACTATGTAGCCCAGGCTGGCCTCAAACTCCAAGTGATCCTTCTGCCTCGGCCTCCCAAGTCCTAGGATTATAGCCATGTATCTCAGAACTTTTTTTTTTAAATTTACTTTTCTCAATTTTGAGACAGAGTCTCACTAAGTCACTAACCTGCCAGGCTGGGCTTGAACTTGCAATCCCCCTGCCTCAGCCTCCCAGAATGCTTGAGTGTTAAAAACCACAGGCTGTAGACACTGCAGTCCACAAATCATCTGTCGCTTTTGACTGTGTGTGAACACTGAAGTAGGCTGTGGATGTTTGTACTCTCAAGACGTTTGTTGGGGTCCCTGTGCCAGGAATGTAGCTCTGACCCGAGGGCAGTGGGGTTGGCAATTGGTATCACCCCAGTTCCCTTTGTGGTCCCAAGGAGCAGGCTTGGAATAGCAAAGGGCAGAGTTGCCAGCAGATATGTGGGATCTGCCCAGCTTGTGCACACCATGGGCAACACGAAGTAAACACCTGTCCTGCAGAGGGGCACCGAAGGCTTTCTGGAGGAAGCTTGGGCTTAGTAACCTTCTCCTTGCCAAGACAAAATACTCACAAGTTAAAGGAAGAGAGTTCATTCTGGCTCACCCTTTGTAGAGGTTTCAGTCCATAGCTGGCTGGCTCCAAGACAGGGCGGCCTGGTAGAGGAGAAACGGTCCATGGCAGGGCAGGCGGGAAGCAGCAGGCAGCGGCAGCTGCCTTCTTCCCATCCCTTTAGGTCCCATCCAGGATAAAAGCCTATAGATTGGTGCCACCTGTACCCAGGGTGGGGCTTCTATTGTCCACACCCAGAACTATGCTAACTCCAATCAGTGGGCTAATTTAGTGCGACACAGCCTTAATCCCAGTATCACACAGCAAGGTCCAGCCAACTTTGAAAAGCCCCACCTATGAGCGAATGAGGCTTTGGTGGACATCTAGATACAGACCAGGACAGGAGGATGCGAGGGTGACAGTTGGCCAAGTCCCGCCCCCTCCTGTTGCCCGCCCAGGCCACCCTTGAGAGTCCCCTCTTCAGCCACGCTGCTCCCTCCAGCTCTCTGAGGCTGGGACACACAGGATGCTGGAAGTCCCTGGCTCTGTCTCCTTCCAGGTTCAAGTATGTCCTGGTCAACGTGTCCACAGGCCTGGTACAGGACGAGAGCCTGTGGTCAGACGCCATCCGCACCAACCAGCGTAAGTAGGGGTGGGCAGGGGTGGTGCCCCAGGGCCCGGAGGCCATGGCCAGGCTTGGGCTGTCTCCCTGGTATACCACCTGGCCCTTAAAACAGTCTAACCTGAAGCCAGGCATAGCGGTGCACACCCGCAATCCCAGCACTCAGGAGGTGAGGCAGGAGAATGGCCAGAAATTCAAGGTCAGCCTGAACTTCATAGCCAGCCCCTGTCTCAAAAAACAAAAATAAAAACAAGAAAAACCAGTTTAACCTGCAATGTTCCCTCCCTGTCTCTGCCCTCGAGGGCCAGGACAAGCTGGAGCACTTGATTCCTCCCCCTGTGGGGCTGAGCCGGCCCCCAGGGGAGCCTAGATCAAGGTCAGGTCTTTCTGCAAGGTCACTCCCCCTGCATCCCCCGGGGACATCCCCCCATGGGGTCCAGCTGAGCCAGCCAGAAGCCTTTTCACTGCCTCGCAGGATGCAGGTCTCCTCCAGGAAGAGTGGGAGAAGCGCCAGGGCTCACCTGGGGATCCCAACGGAAGCGAGGCTGCAGGGAGAACATGTGGGGCCACGTGCAGAGCCTGGGCTGTCACTCAGGGCTGTGTCTCCCCAGGGTGGTCCCCAAGGGGTGACACCGGCCAGAGGAGGGTGGGAGCCTCTGCCCACCTGGCTCCGCCAGACCAGCACTCCTGCTCGGCTTTGATTATTCCAATGTTGACCCCATCTGCCCACCTGAAGCCTTGAGTCGGTTTATAATAGAAAGTTGAAAGGGAGAGGAGGCCAGGAAGTCGGGATGCGGGAGGAGACGGTGGCTGACCTGGGCCCCATCCCTCCGGGCCCTGGGCGCCCAGGCAGCAGGACCCCTGCGTTGATCCATCTTCTAGGGGGTAACCGAGCCCCCTCCACAGCCACCCCCTACGCGGCCATCGACACGTGGCCCGGCAGGCGCAGCGGGGGCATGATTGTCATCACCTCCATCCTGGGCTCCCTGCCCTTCTTCCTGCTCGTGGGCTTCGCCGGCGCCATCGCCCTCAGCTTCGTGTGAGTGCCGGGGACACCCCTGACGTGGTCTGTGTGGGCCAGCACTAGAGGCGACCCCTGGGCAGAGGGGGTCCTGGAGCAGCCCGGCTGCGATGCGCTCAAATCACCCGCAGAGGGCGCCCCCACGCTGTTCCTGAGTTACTAAAAACCCCAGAACCTTCCTGACTCAGCTTCCCTTGAGAGCCTCTGCCTGTTTGAGTTCCTCAGACACCTTGGTGCCTGTGGACATGGGGACAGTGGCTTCTCATTGTCCAGCCCACAACGAGACCCGGAACTGTGTGGGTTCACCTTCACAGGTGGCACCTTCCTTATTCCCAGACCCAGCGTAAAGTGAGCGCTTCAGAAAGATCGGGCTTGGAGCGAAGGTTTGAGGGCACATCTGTGAGCATAATGGCTAAGGGTTAGGGCCGAGACACGGGGAGCTCAGGTCCACTCTGCTCCCCTGACCCCGGCTCTCACGGTGCCCTCCACCAGGGACATGGGCAGCTCTGACGGGGAGACGACGCACGACTCCCAGATCACACAGGAAGCTGTCCCCAAGTCCCTGGGGACCTCAGAGCCCGCCTACACGTCCGTGAACCTCAGGCCGCCCCTGGACCGGGCCGAAGTGTTCTCCAGCAAGCTGCAGGACTGAGCCGCCTGCAGGACCTCGGCTTCTTCCTCCTCCCCGAGGCCCGGGGCTGAGGACAGGGGCGGAAATAGGGTGGGTTGGTCCAGCTGTGGGGAAACTTAACGTGTCCCCAAGATGTGGAGTCCAGAAACAGTGACAGAATAAATGGGTCAGTGAAGGGGTGGGTGAGTCGTGTCCTACTGAAGGCTTGGCCTGTGTCCTTGCTGGTCAGAACTGCCGTGGTGAAACGGATACAGCCAGGCATGATGGTGCAGGCCTGTAATCCTAGCACACAGGAGGCTGAGGCAGGAGGATCATAAGTCCAAACCATAAATAAATAAGTGGCTGGAAATAAACTAAGTGTGAAGGCCCTGGGGTCAATCCCTGCTACCACAATTAAAAGAAAAAAAAAAGCCAGGCATGGTGGCACATGCTGAGGCTGAGGATCCCCAAGTTTTAGGCCAGCTTGGGCTACATAGCAAGACCTTGTCTCAAAAAACAAAACCAAAACAAAAAAAACAAGAAAGAACGTGGAAGCTAGTTGACTGTGGCCTCAGCCTCGGTCTCTCCATCTGTAAGATGGGCTGGATCAACCGGAGCCTTCCTCCAGGGGTGCTATGTGCACTAAAGCCCTGCAGCACCCCAAGTTCAGGTTTGAGACCCTAACTGTAGGTGGCATCATACCGGTTGCCAGGGCGGAGTCTTGGGATGGGGTCGTTCCCTCAGAAAGAGGCTGAACTCCCACAACTGCCAGCCGGCTCTCTCACCCCCCAGCACCCTCACTCCAACCTGCAGCCCCCAGGGCCCCGAGAAACAACGGCCGCTGATTGTGCAGCGCCCAGCGATGGTGCTGGAGGTGACAACCCCGCACCCTCAGCCAGTCTCTAGAGGGGCACCAGAGGGACGAGGGCTGGGGAGGTGGGGACAGAGCGTCCTGTCTGTCACAGGCTGCATTTATTTCCCTTTATATCTGAGGTGAAGTCCACACAACATAAAATTAACCTTTCTTATTTCAAAATAGTAAAACTGCTGGGATTCAGCCCAGGGCCTTGCACAGCCTTGGCAAGTGCCACGCCCTCAGCTCTAAGCTTTTCAAGCTCTGGATTTCCCATTCCCAAACACCCATCCCCCCAAAGGGCTCTCAGGGCCTCCGAAGCAGCCGCACCCCTGCCTCAGCTCCCCCAGGCCCCGGTGACCGCCCGTCCCATCCCATCTCTAGACAACAGCTTGCTCGGGACATTTCACCTGGAAGGAATTGCCTGGTGCAGTGGTGCATGCCTGTAATCCAGCGCTCTCGAGAGGCTGAGGCAGGAGGGTCACAAACTCCAGCCCAGTCGGGGTAATTTAGTGCCTTTGCAAGGCCCTGTCTCAACATTAAAGAATAAAAAAGGGCTGGTCAGTCCCCAGAGCGCGGGTGGGCGCTCCCAACACACAAGCTGAAGCAACCAGACTGCTTGCCGCCTACCTGCTGGGCAGATCTGTCCCGGGCCTGGAGTCACGGCTCTTCGCCCATGGGCTCCGCAGACTGGGCCCTGGGGACGCCTCGGGCCTCCCCTGAGGGTTTGGTCCCCTCCTTTGTTCCCACTAAGACTCCACTGAGAGGGGCTGCTGGTCCGGTGAGGAAACCACAGGTCGGATTGGACAAGTCTGACCTACACATTCACCCCTGGCCTTAGGTGAGGACCTTCGCCTCTGGATGCCTCAGCTTCCCTGTCTGTATTTGGTTTGTTGTTTTGTGTTTCTGAGACAGGGTCTCACTCTATTGCCCAGGCTGGTCTTCAACTCCCGGCGATCCTCCTGCCTCAGCCTCCTGGGTGCTGAGATGACAGGCACAGGCATGCGCAGCCAGGCCCGGCCATTTCCCTGTTTGTAAAGTGGGGGCTCTGAAGGGAACCCACCCTCAGGGGTCCAGAGTGCCTGGGGACCATTGTCCTTGTGCCTGTGTCATCCTAGGCGCTGGCCCTGGCTCATGAGGGCCCACCGCAGGGCCTGGGGCCCGGAAGCCAGGTGAAGGTCTGGCTCTTCCTGTGGCTCTGCCCACTCTGCGCTGGGCAGGGCAGGGAGTGCCCAGCAGTTCCTGGGAGCATTCATCAGTGCTTCGTGGAGAGTGACACATCGGTGACAGGAACGCCCAGCCCACCTTTGTCACATTCAAGGCCAGCCAAGGGCTGTGTGACAGGCGAGCTGGGGCAGGGACCGTGAGGCGCTTCGGGGCTCTGCAAGGTCCAGGCTGGAGGCCACACACCGGAGGCGCAGGCGGGGACAGGAGCTGGCGGGGAGGGTCGCTCTGTGGGAAGCTGAAGAATGACGTGCAGCCGCAGGAGGAGGAGGGGGACGAGGACAGCCGGCCAGGGCCCCTGCGCATGAGGTGATGCCCTCGACACCAACAGAGGAGAGCAGCCTGGATTGGGAGACTTTAGGAGAACACGTTGGGCATGGTGGCGCACACCCGCAATCCAGCACTTGGGAGGCCGAGGCAGGAGGATTGCTGTAAGTCTGAGGCCAGCCTGGGCTACATAGCAAGACCCTGTCTTAACAATAACAAGAAAAGAGCTGTGTACCACCCAGAGTCCCCTTTACAGCCAAACCATGCAACCCCCACACCCCTAAACCCGGAAATCACAGATCTGTGCTTCCTTTCTATAAACGTGTTATTTTAACACTGTGCCATAAACAGAATCCTGAAGGGTGTCCCACAGCGTCACGTCCTTGAGACCCACCCCAGCCACCACCCTATGCAGTGTGCTCCTTTTATAGCTGGACTGGGTCCCTCTCTTCCACGTGTCACGGCTGTTTGACCATGCATGAGAGCAAGGGCACCGGCTGGTTCCAGCTTGCTGCTGGTTATGATCAGCTGCTGAGAGCTTTGAGAGCTTTCCCTCCGCCCCCATGAATAACAATGTTGAGCACTGGGGGCTGGGGATTTAGCTCAGCGGCACAGCGCCTGCCTGGCAAGTGCAAGGTCGTGAGTTCGATTCCCGGTACCGGAAAAAACAAACAAACAAAAACAAAACAAAACAAAAAAAACAAACAACAAAGTTGAGCACTGTTTCAGGTGTTTGTTTGCCATTCATATACCTTCTTTGGAGAAGCATTGCCCAAATCTTTTGCTTAACTCTATTTTTTTATTTTTTGTCTTTTTGAGACAGGGTCTCCCTGTGCAATTCAGGCTGGCTTGAGCTTACTTTGTAGCCCAGGCTGGTCTCGAACTCATAAAGATCCTCTTGGGATTTTTGTTCTGTTTTGTTTTTTTGGTGCTGATGATGGAACCCAGGGCCTATGCACATGCTAGGCAAGTGCCTACCCTTTGAGCTACATCCTTACCCCCATTCTTTTATTTTTTTATTTTTTTATTTTTTGTCTTTTTGAGACAGGGTCTCACTATGCAGTTCAGGCTAGCCTTGAACTCACTTTGTAGTCAAGGCTGGTCTTGAACTCACAACGATCCTCCTGCCTCAGCCTCCTGAGTGCTGAGATTACAGGCATGTGCCACCATGCCCAGTTTACTCCCATTCTTTTAATTTTCTCCTATGGATATATTCTGATGAGCTAATTATTTATTGGTATTTTTGAGACAGGGTCTTGCTCTGTTCAGGCTGGCCTTAAACTCACTACATAGCCCAAGCTGGCCTCAAATTTGCAGTGACCCTCCTGCCTCAGCCTCCTGAGAGCTGGGATTACAGGTGTGTACCACTATACCCAAAGCCTTGCTCAGTTGTTTAAACTGGGTTGTTTATCTTTATTGTTGAATTCAAGAGTGCCTTCCATATTCTACACTAGATCCTTTGTCCTGCATATCTTCGGCAAGTTTCCCTCAGCCTGTGTCCTGCCCCCACATGACTGTTTTTCTCCGTGGCCTCATCGGCCCTAACACCTGGGCTTATGATCTGTCTCTCCACAAGGAGGCCGCATGGTTTTCCTGCTGTGTCCGCAGCACCCTGCACAGTGGCTGCTGCGCATCTGTTCGGTAGTTCTCTTGTCCCCACGCCACCACTACCAGGGGACGAGACATGGACAGGTGAGGGGACCTCCGCAGAGAGCTGGGCTGGGCGCAGGTGGGGTCTGGGTAAGGTGGGCAGAGTCTACATGAGGGCCAGAGGGCCTTTCCGGGGCCAGGCCCCGCTCCTTCGCACCGACAAAGCCACACCCACCTGCTGTGGGGGCTGGGCGCCTAGCAGCCTTGGGCCCCCAAGGGGCTGCGACCTCGGCAGGGGCCGGTGGGGCATGGGGGATGGGGCGTCCATCTGGCTGTGTGTGGTGCAAGGCCTCCCGGCGCAGCAAGGCGAGTCTTCGCGGGCAGCAGCAGAAGCTCTGGCTCCGGGAGGCAGGCACGCGGTTCCCTCTGCCTATTGTGCCCGGTCTGTGGCCGGAGAGCCCCGAGCAGTAATACCAAGCAGGTCCCCCTCCCAGCGTGGACTATAGTGGTGCCCTTCCTCCTGAGCGAGTCTGCCTTCTAGTCTGTGCTCACGGTGGTTGTGAGCACGAAGAAGGCCGCGCCTATGAAGAGTTTAGCGGAGGACAGCGACACACACACACACACACACACACACACACACACATGCACACATGTACACACGCACATTTCGAATGCACCCGTGTCTCACCGGGCAGCCCTGCTGTATCCACAGGGCACCGTCAGTACAGAGCAAATCGGGATCGGGTCTGCTACAGAGTTCGAGGCCGAGACTTGTACATACACACACACACACACACACACACACACACGCACTTGAATGAGACCTGCTCCCGCCAGCGACACACAGGCACCTGCAGGGCCAGCGACATCACACGCAGGCACCGCGCTGGGCCTGGCCGTGTCCCTCCCCTTGCTTACTTGGACGCAGTGGCCAGCAGGCCGCGATGGGGGGCCGCGGTTCCTGAGACCCCCTCCGCCACCCGGCCGGTCACGGGACTACAGTTTAAATGGGATGCAGAGGTAGCCGGTAGCTCAGTTGGTTAGAGCATGGTGCTGATAAATGCGATGGTCTCTGAGCTGGCCTGGTCCTTACAGAAACCCCACTGTCTCGGGGGACGGCTGAGACTCCCGGTCCGTCCACTGGGCTGAGCTGGGCTGCGGAGACAGGATGACCGGCCCCAGCTTGGACGGGGCACGCCCGCGGAGGCGCCCTCTGCACACTGCTCGGCCCGCGGCTCCCGTTCCCGCGCGCAGCAGCGGGTGCAGGTGCGCCGACTGCGTCACGCCAGCGGAGCGCGTGCGGGCTGGCCAAGGCTGTCCTTTGCCGTATTTGCCGAGAGCTGAACTGAAGGCCTTGCCCATGCTGGGGCGCGCTCTACTGAGCTACCCGGGAGCCCCGAAACTACATCACATGGAAACTGTACATCTACATCCACTGGCTGGGGAGCTCGGCGCGGCGGAGGTGGTTAAATGCAAGCGCTGAGTCCGGCGGGGGCCTCCAGGAGGCTCACTTTCCTCCTCTGTTAAACTGGAACGGTAGTGATGGCGTCCTCCTGGCAGGGCTGTCATGAAGACTGCCGGAAGGGCTCGGGCAGGGCGCCTGCCACAAGCCTTCATTTCAGTGTTGGGACCCCATTTTTTTGTTTTTTGGGACGGGGTCTCATATGTAGTTCAGGCTAGGCTGGCCTTGAATTTGCAGCGATCCTCCTGCTTCGGCCCCCTGAGTGCTGGGATTACACGTGTGTGCCACCACGCCCAGCCGTTAACAGCCAACTGTAAAATCAAATTTACATAAAGGTGCTCAGGAGAAAGGAAGTAATAATTGATGTGGTTCAGGCGGGGTGGGGAGGAGGTTCGGGAAGCCTGGGAAGAGGAAGTGGCTTCTGACACGATGGGCTCTTCTTAGGAAAAGCCAACACACTGTTCGGGAATCAGCTGACGCGCAACTAAGACTCTGCAGCCGGCGCTCACCCGCTCACTCGACTGCGCCTGCGCCAAGACTCCTGGAGGGGCGGGGGGGGGGATGGCGGAGGGGGCGTGGCGCGCTGCTGGCTCCACCCTTCTCGGGGGTGGGGCTTCGGGCAGCCTCGCGACCGTTGGTTTCGGGGCGGAACCCTTGCACGGCGAGGGCGCGCGCGCGGGGGAAGG